GTCAATACCCACCGCACACACACACACACACACACACACACACACACACACACACACACACACACACACACACACACACACACGCTGCACATTAATCGTCCACAGAGAGCTGGAGTGGTGAAGAGTGAGAGACAGTATGGATAAAGAGGGAGGGCAGCACGAGTAAGCAAAAAGCAAATGATGCCTCACCATAAATCCTCCATTTTAGTTGTCGCATCAGGATATTAACAACATCTGTGTATGTTATTGTCTTTATCCTCAAGTGGTTAACATTTGCGGCCTTTTACGTGTGAGCGAGTGTAAGCGTGGGTGCGTTTGTGCGCTTGTCAGACAAGATGTAATGAATTTTCTCTCGAGGAGTTATGGTTAATCATGAAAGTGGCCCCACCGTCGTCATGTGGGGGGCATGTGAGGACATGAGTACTGCATTACTGGAAATACATGCTGAAGGAGCTTTTAGTGACCCCAGATAAATGGATTTTATATCACAGCACTGACACTCTAACTCTATGGAATGTCAACATGAACACATGATACACACTGTCTATGAATATACATCAACTTATTCCCATGAGAAATTACCCCGAGATGGAATGTAGAAAAGGCCACTATCACCCAAAATGGAAATCACAGTGACTGAGAGAGCTCTGTGACAATTTGCAAACCACTGAAGAAACACCCTAAAAATAATTTCCTTAGGTTTAGGATGAATGGATTCGTCATATTTTGTGTTTTATAATTGGCTACCCTCCTTGCATAAGATCTATTCACTGGACTCTGTCCACCATATCCAATGAAATTAAAAACAGATTGATTTCATCGGTGAAACGTGTCTGGAACACCTTTGCTGAGGTCCAACAGGATTGGAAATTTCAACAGTTAAGGATGGCAAGGGATATACAGTGTGTGTGTGTGTGTGTGTGTGTGTGTGTGTGTGTGTGTATATATATATATATATATATAGTGTATGTATATTACGTATATCATTTTTGATGAGTGCTTTTCTTATACTTGAGCTCTTTAATAGTGAGAACATGTAAACAAACTTCTTCGCGCCATGTCAAATGTCTGTTTATCTTTAAAGTCGTACACCAGGTGGCTTGTTGGTACTGTAGTTTTAAATGAGCAACCAACAACGCTCCGGCCGAGGTGTTCACCACACATCCCAGCATTCCACTCTTCTGTGCGTGTCTCCAATTGGTCGAGAGCTGTTCAAACCCAACGCCTGCACGCCTTATATGGTCATCGTGCACTCGCTCGCTTCATTCGGGCTTTTTATGCTAATCATATTTTAATGTCCAGCTGTATGCAGTCGTAGTAAGGAGCATGCGCAGTGCGTGACAAGAAAACGGCGAAGATTCAAAGTTTTCCTTCGGTAAGTCTCTGTTTATTTCCTTGAGGTCGTAGTGACGTTCGTTTAATGGAGCTAATGTATTTAGAGTGAAATGAACTGGCAACGTTATTTAATGTTCACTATGTAGTTGTCTATAGTGTCGAGTGGGCTGCACAAAGAGCCGCCGACAATGGAAGTGAATGGCAGCATGGCGTGGTGCGGGGAGCGCGCTAGCCAGCATGCTAACGGCTAACAACAATGAGCCATATTTGGCGCTCGAACGGGCAAAAGTTTGAATTTAAAGGGGACACCGATTCTCACGCGACGTTTCGCCTTTTGATAAACACAACCGACTCGAGTGGATAACTCCAAGCGAAATAAAGTTGTTCATGTTGTAACCAAGTGTTTGATGTTTCAACAAACCGTCCCGCGTAGCTTTTTGTTTCTCCGATAGACGCGAGCTGCTGTCTTTGCACTCGGTAGTCGCATGATACCTATTCGACTTTTATAATCACATTTGCACTTTTTACACTCAAGTATGTTGCGTGTTCACGACTGTCTGCAAAAGCGACGTCGTTGTCAGTTGGTGGTGGGCGTTGCGTTGCAATTTGGGTTTTAAAGTCATGTTTGGTTTTCTGTGAAGCCATAGTTGAGCTTCAGTTAAATCGCCTTTAGATCGCTTCGATTTGTGCAATAAAAAAGTGGCCCAGTCCAGTACAAGCATTTGCCTTGTGCTGCCTAAATATCTCCCAAGTCTCACGCATGTTAAAAACGATACCTTCATCTTTTAACGTGTGCTCGGGCGGGGACCGCCCCCCTGCACAATGGTGGCGAGTGCCAGAGTGTTCGCTCCTGGTGCACGACTAGTAGAACAAGCTCTCATTTTGTGTGTGTATGCATGTATGTGTGCGTGTGTGTGTTCGTTCCTCGTGCAGGTTCTTTTACGCGTGCACCGAGCTGTAAAAAAAGGAAGACTATGTTTGGCTTTCACAAGTCAAAGATCTACCGGAGTAACGACGGCTGTTGCATCTGCAAAACCAAGTCATCCAGCTCGCGTTTCACAGACAGCAGCCGATATGAAGACACATTCCGGCTCTGTTTTGGGTAACATGTCGCACTTGTGCTAAATTATTTTTCTTGTGTTGTTTTTGCATGCTCATAATTGTCAAAGTGTGGAAAAAGAGTCTACGACTGAAGTACAGTTGTACTTAACTTTTTTGTACGTTTAGTTGTATCATTTTTTGAAATACATTTATTTGTATACTTTTATTTAGGTATAACTGTGATTAAATGTAGCCCTCCAAAACATTTTAATTGAATTATTATCAAAGTATTTTTTTATTGTCCAACATTGTTTATGTTCAAAATGTGCCTGATGTTTCAGTGCGTTACAATTGTATATTTTTAGTAGGACTGCAAATGATTTTGAAAAATAATAAACGGTTGATTTTTTTCCTCGGTTAATCAAATTGAATTTTAAAAATACATTTCGATCCCTTAATTCTTTCAAATCGAGTGTGCAGAAAATGCTCAAACATACAGGAAATTGTTTGATTCTGTTTGACACCCCCAGCTCCCCCGCCCATAAGATCCGTCAGAAAATGTTGGCTGCTGTTTTCTAAAGTAAAAGCAAATGTTTGCAAATGTCTTAATTTGATGAAACACAAAGATAATCAGTTCCTGCTGTCATGGGCCGATACAAAAATATTTGTATATTTACTGTTGTGAGGGTGAAATTCAGAGGATTTGCAAAGTTAAGTTAAACAATGGCTCTAAATGATTAATCGACTAGTAGTTATTTGATAATTGATTGTTGATTAATTGTTGTACCTTGATCTGTTAAACCAACAATTGCAATTCTCTTCAAGATATATATGCCATTTCAAAGGCATGACTTGCCTTTGAAATGGCAGGACACGCCTTCCGGCAGCACCCGGTTTGTGCCTTCAATCCAGATTCAGCCATGTGACCCCGCAGTGTGACAAAAATCATCGTTAGTCCCTGTATATCATTTCATATTAATTAAAAACAATAACAACATAAGGCCAAATGTAAATGCCTTAAGCAAGCCTCCCCCAACCGCATGTCATGTGACTACCGGTACTATACTTTCCTCGGTGACAGTCATCTGACCGGATGAGCAAAACTGGCCAACGCTACTTCAATACGTCACGCTCAATCTTGTCGCCAATTTGATGGCCAACATCAAGAGTGTGTCACGAGCGAGTATAAAACAATATTTAATGCATTTATTGTTTACACTATACTTAAATGATACCAGTGTACATTTGCATTGAATCTGCTCCTTGTTTTGTTTCCCCTCAGGGACCATTTGCTACATCACTGGATCGCCCTTCTCGCAGACTGTCCAATCACGGCGCAAATGTACGAAGACGCCGCGCTGATCAAGGACCGCTCGCTGGTGAACTCTCTGATTCGAGTTCTTCAGACTCTGCAGGAGTTCAACATCACCCTGGAGGCATCGCTCATTAAAGGTGTCGGGATTTAAACCAAACCAGCTTCCCGCTGGTTGCACCAATTCAGTGAACCTTTTATATGCAGGAACAGACTCTAAACAGTTGACATACTTTGGCTTATGTTAAAGACACTGTTACATTTGCCATATATTGTATTGAAGTGCAATGAGCCTTTTGAAATCTATTGTTTTTTATCCCCAATAATGTGGTCATGTTTCAAACATGCTTTCTTTTATGAACCATGTTTTCCCATATTATTGTCAATGACCTTCTTGTGCTACCTTTTATCAAACGGTTAAGATTTTCATTGTTGGAATGAACTGCTGACTATGGCTGTATTTAAAGGGAGTTTGGGGTCAAAACTGTTAATATATTTTATCAGAGAAAAACAGTATTTTGTAAAATCAGTCAAGTTGCTTGCTCTGTTGTCCAGTCTTCTAATGTCATAACGCAGAGCAGAAAGCTAATAGAGAGATGTGTTTGATAAGTATGGATGTGACAGAAATGGGAGAGTTGAATTGTGGCACCTACAAAAGAAGCCAAGGGCCGCTTCCATTGCAGCCTTTTCTTGGGAAATGTATGCAGACCTTTTTATGTGAAATACCTTTGTACCTTCAGTGCAAAAAATGGATTCTCCTTGCATGAAATAGAGACTCTATAACGGATGGAAGATACAAGTGCTCCCAAGGGTTCCACCTTTCTGCACAATGGCAGCCTTTATGTAAATGGCTCCATCCGACTCCTCTTCAACTGCTTTCCTGCCCATGTCAGCATCTTGGAGGAAAATATCCTTGATCCCCTGCTACTCCTTTGCAGCCATCCCTAATGGGAGCAAAAATGCTTCTATTGCCCACCACCTGATTTTATTGTCATGGTTTCTTGCTATGCAATTTCCACAGCAGAAAATGTGTCCCCCCTCACAAAGCCTATGTCAGGGCTGCCTGAGGTCACACCGGGTCATCTTTCATGAACTTGTATGTATAGAGTAAAGAGATTTGATAATTGAAGGTTTCCTTTTTTGTGCCAACAGTGACTGGAATGAACTCTTCTCTATATGACTCATACATGAGTGTCTTGCAAGATATATATTTTTGTTTTCCAAAAAAAACTAAACAGTTGTACATTTATGAAATAGCTGTGTAATGTAGTGTTTACTAAGTGAGACACCATGTACAGTGTAAAAATATATCAAGAATAAAATCATCTGTAATGTTATTTTGGTGAAATTTGCAAATGTTGATTTATCCTTATTATGATGCAGAACGTGATAGTTTTTCATGCATATCTGGACCTCTGAACATAATACATTCAGCCTAATAGAATAATTGCGCAAGTCATTTTTAACTAAACATCAACATCATCAAGTTTTTGTTGAGGTTTTTTTTTCCTTGTCTGTGTAGATCCTCAGTTATCCAGGCTGTAATTTGCATAAATTGAATCGAGGCATTCAAAGATGACGTAGGAAATTATGCCTTTAAGCTAATGATCCTGAAATTCTTGGTCATATGCGGTTTCTTAGTATAAGTTGACCATGTCTGAAATGATGCATGGCTTATTTTACAAAGATAGTGATAGTAAAGTATAAACAATTTTTGCGCTCGATATTTACATGGAATAACTAAAGATTACTATTTTATTTTATTTATAAAATATATATATATATATATATATATATATATATATAGTGTATGTATATTACGTATATCATTTTTGATGAGTGCTTTTCTTATACTTGAGCTCTTTAATAGTGAGAACATGTAAACAAACTTCTTCGCGCCATGTCAAATGTCTGTTTATCTTTAAAGTCGTACACCAGGTGGCTTGTTGGTACTGTAGTTTTAAATGAGCAACCAACAACGCTCCGGCCGAGGTGTTCACCACACATCCCAGCATTCAACTCTAGCATGCGCAGTGCGTGACAAGAAAACGGCGAAGATTCAAAGTTTTCCTTCGGTAAGTCTCTGTTTATTTCCTTGAGGTCGTAGTGACGTTCGTTTAATGGAGCTAATGTATTTAGAGTGAAATGAACTGGCAACGTTATTTAATGTTCACTATGTAGTTGTCTATAGTGTCGAGTGGGCTGCACAAAGAGCCGCCGACAATGGAAGTGAATGGCAGCATGGCGTGGTGCGGGGAGCGCGCTAGCCAGCATGCTAACGGCTAACAACAATGAGCCATATTTGGCGCTCGAACGGGCAAAAGTTTGAATTTAAAGGGGACACCGATTCTCACGCGACGTTTCGCCTTTTGATAAACACAACCGACTCGAGTGGATAACTCCAAGCGAAATAAAGTTGTTCATGTTGTAACCAAGTGTTTGATGTTTCAACAAACCGTCCCGCGTAGCTTTTTGTTTCTCCGATAGACGCGAGCTGCTGTCTTTGCACTCGGTAGTCGCATGATACCTATTCGACTTTTATAATCACATTTGCACTTTTTACACTCAAGTATGTTGCGTGTTCACGACTGTCTGCAAAAGCGACGTCGTTGTCAGTTGGTGGTGGGCGTTGCGTTGCAATTTGGGTTTTAAAGTCATGTTTGGTTTTCTGTGAAGCCATAGTTGAGCTTCAGTTAAATCGCCTTTAGATCGCTTCGATTTGTGCAATAAAAAAGTGGCCCAGTCCAGTACAAGCATTTGCCTTGTGCTGCCTAAATATCTCCCAAGTCTCACGCATGTTAAAAACGATACCTTCATCTTTTAACGTGTGCTCGGGCGGGGACCGCCCCCCTGCACAATGGTGGCGAGTGCCAGAGTGTTCGCTCCTGGTGCACGACTAGTAGAACAAGCTCTCATTTTGTGTGTGTATGCATGTATGTGTGCGTGTGTGTGTTCGTTCCTCGTGCAGGTTCTTTTACGCGTGCACCGAGCTGTAAAAAAAGGAAGACTATGTTTGGCTTTCACAAGTCAAAGATCTACCGGAGTAACGACGGCTGTTGCATCTGCAAAACCAAGTCATCCAGCTCGCGTTTCACAGACAGCAGCCGATATGAAGACACATTCCGGCTCTGTTTTGGGTAACATGTCGCACTTGTGCTAAATTATTTTTCTTGTGTTGTTTTTGCATGCTCATAATTGTCAAAGTGTGGAAAAAGAGTCTACGACTGAAGTACAGTTGTACTTAACTTTTTTGTACGTTTAGTTGTATCATTTTTTGAAATACATTTATTTGTATACTTTTATTTAGGTATAACTGTGATTAAATGTAGCCCTCCAAAACATTTTAATTGAATTATTATCAAAGTATTTTTTTATTGTCCAACATTGTTTATGTTCAAAATGTGCCTGATGTTTCAGTGCGTTACAATTGTATATTTTTAGTAGGACTGCAAATGATTTTGAAAAATAATAAACGGTTGATTTTTTTCCTCGGTTAATCAAATTGAATTTTAAAAATACATTTCGATCCCTTAATTCTTTCAAATCGAGTGTGCAGAAAATGCTCAAACATACAGGAAATTGTTTGATTCTGTTTGACACCCCCAGCTCCCCCGCCCATAAGATCCGTCAGAAAATGTTGGCTGCTGTTTTCTAAAGTAAAAGCAAATGTTTGCAAATGTCTTAATTTGATGAAACACAAAGATAATCAGTTCCTGCTGTCATGGGCCGATACAAAAATATTTGTATATTTACTGTTGTGAGGGTGAAATTCAGAGGATTTGCAAAGTTAAGTTAAACAATGGCTCTAAATGATTAATCGACTAGTAGTTATTTGATAATTGATTGTTGATTAATTGTTGTACCTTGATCTGTTAAACCAACAATTGCAATTCTCTTCAAGATATATATGCCATTTCAAAGGCATGACTTGCCTTTGAAATGGCAGGACACGCCTTCCGGCAGCACCCGGTTTGTGCCTTCAATCCAGATTCAGCCATGTGACCCCGCAGTGTGACAAAAATCATCGTTAGTCCCTGTATATCATTTCATATTAATTAAAAACAATAACAACATAAGGCCAAATGTAAATGCCTTAAGCAAGCCTCCCCCAACCGCATGTCATGTGACTACCGGTACTATACTTTCCTCGGTGACAGTCATCTGACCAGATGAGCAAAACTGGCCAACGCTACTTCAATACGTCTTTATTTATATCGCGCTTTCACAACAGCTGCAGCTGTAACAAAGCCCCCTTACAGAACATTTAACATAAAATAACAACTATATGCCACACACAAGTGCTTCCCAAAAAAAAAACTGTTGATCATGATGGTAGCGGTTGCTGTGAAAAGTTGAAGAACCACTGCTTTAATTTGTCTTGATAGGCTGTCTGAGGACCGTGTCGGAGACATCTGCAATGCCTGCGTGTTGTTGGTGAAGAGATGGAAGAAACTCCCCAATGGCTCCAAAAAGAACTGGAACCACGTAAGTCACATGTGCATCTTTACGTAGTAAGCACGGATAATTTGTTACTGTGCTCAAGTCGATTTTTCAGGTGTCTGTGCTTTGAGTATGTATTTATTTTTCTGATGTTTTGACTTCATTCTCCACATTTGAAAAAGTCTGCGACAGGAATCATTTCTGGTGATTGTATTGTCTTGTCACATCCACTTTTCACCTTTTTAAAATCTTGTGTTCAGTCATCAGACTTTTTTGGCTGTCTTAATGCAGGTGGTGGATGCCAGAGCTGGACCGGGCTTCAAAGTGACAAAACCCAAAAAGATCAAGAACAGCGATGGCAAGAAGAAAAGCAAGTTGAAGAGGCTTCACAAGTTGAAGAGGCAAAGTAAGTCCCATTTATCTACTCAGTCAAACTTGTGACAGAAAGTCCCAAGTGTGTCTGCGTTGGATGACATTTTCATGATTCCAGCTGTGTTTGTTTCCAGGACTGTCGTGCCTTTTTGTCGCTTTAAATTTGTTGTCATTTCGAGGCCCATTTTCTTTATCCTCTGCTTGAGAGAAATAAAGGCATGGCAGTATTTAATGATCAGTAATTATAAATATGCACATAATTCTTGTTATTAATATCCAAGCCAAACATTGAAATGAAACTACATTTTCATTTGTTGAATGGACATATTTATTATTCCACAGCACGTGACTGTGCCGCATACATCATCTGTTCAGAATCAGCAGTTCAGAATCACTAGGTATCTCACGACATGACACCAAAAACAAAACGCACCATTCTCACCAGCATTGCTGAGTATAGAATTTGTTGATGTGCGCAGATTGCCACAAACATGTTTTGCTAGTCATAGTTGGCTGGAACAAATTTTGCTCTGACCTGATCTGATCAGAGGACAGAAAAATGCTGAGGACATTGAGGGCCAGCTTGCTTGAAATCCAATTCGGTGAAAGAAACAATCCAGTTGCTCCTAGTTGAAGTAACGACGGCCCACAATGCTGATTCTGAAGGCTCTGGGCAGATGAGATGAACATGGAAGCACAGTGAGGCTGAAATCTGACTGAATGGAGAAAAAGAAAAAATAATTGACCGACGCATACTGAATGCCGTGAAGCCAAAAGAAACGCTGCCCAAAGGGAAAGAGTAGACTGTTGCAATGACATTATCATACAGTTTTTACAAAACAACAATGAAAATTGCAAGTTTAAATCTAAGTCAGTGTTTCTTGACCGTGTTCAGGCCTTGCTGAGATAACCACTGTTGAGCGTTAACTACCACACAGTGTGTCCGATCTCTCCTTTTGACTAAATGTTTTTTTGTTTTGTTTTGCAAGTAGACTCGGATGCTCACAGCACGACCTCCAGCGTGTCTCCCGCCCAGTCGCCCAGCTACAGCAACTTGTCCGACGACGGCTCGGACATCGAGTCCAAGCAAAGACGCTCATCACCTTCCGCTTTCTCTTTCTTGGACCGCTCCTACTGGAAAAGGTGAGGAATTGCAGTAAATACCAAAATGAATATACAGTGAAACTCCTCTAGAACGAAACCTACATGGGCGAAAATACCCCCTTATGTGAAAAAATCTTCATGCATTAACACAATTCCCATTCTCCTGCCCCCCATACGACGAAAAACCCCCTGTTGCGTTATACGAAATCATTTTCTCTGCTCCAGCCTCGCAAAGACATTCACTACAACGAAGTTTTATCCAACAGCGACCTCTACCGGTTCGTTCGGAAACGGCAACAGCAAACACCACACTGGTTTACATAGTGAACAATGTTTATTTCGGTCACAGCTGCGAGTTTCCTGGACTCAACAAACTCATAGCTGCTCTGCCATTGCCAAGAGGGACCTAACTGGAGCGCTTCTCTCTCATTAGCGCTCCAGTTAGCGTAATGTTTTTAGCCTTCGAGAGCTAACTAGGCCGTCGAAGACTATGAAGCGTCCCGCGGCTCGACGGACATTCAAATAAACGATCGTTTCCTCGAATGCTTTACTTGTTATCATGCTAAAAACAGCCACGGGACGCTTCGTAGTCCTAGACGGCCTAGTTAGCTCTCGAAGGCTAAAAACATTACGCTAATTAGCGCTCCAGTTAGCGTAACGTTTTTAGCCTTCGAAAGCTAACTGTGGCCATTTAGAACTACGAGGTGTGGCTGGTTTAAAAGTTCATTGCATGAACATCAGCTGAGCAACGCTGTCTTGGGTTAGGGTTAGGTAGAGACAGTGAGATGGTGGAAAGAAAAGCCACCGGGTCCAGAAGTATTTGTTATTGTTAGATTCAGACGAGCGTGGACGTTATAATGCTAAAATGGCTACAAAAGGACCTTTGGATGTCAAGCAGCTAAGACAAGAAGAGCTCTGATGCTGGAAGAGAGGTTAAAAGTGATCAAAATGAAAGACGGAGCAAGCAAAATAAATGACATGATCCAAGAAATTGATGTAAGTGAAAGTGAATGCTGATTGTAAATTTCGCAATTTCTTTACCTTTTTTTCTTTCTACACTGACAATATGAAGTGTCAAATAAGTGTATGCTCATACTTATGCACTATTGGAATAAAAATAGAGTACACATACGTTTGTGTGCGTGTACACATATGTTTGTGTGGGTGGGTGTGTGTGTGTGCTTACATCTGAGACCAAATTTGCTACAGTGAAAAACCCCCTGTTGTGAAAAATTTCTTGCCGCAAACACGATTTCGTTGTAGAGGAGTTTCACTGTATTTAAAATAAACCCTGACACACAATGAACTGGCAAAGATGAAAGCAAAGGACATTTTCTCTCTAATTATAGATAATTGTGGTTTTATAAACTTGAAATATAGTTTCGGTTAGTTATTGTGTTTTTAAAAGCACTCATACTTTTATTTCATTCACAAAAATATTTGTTTCGATTTTACTTGATTTGTCAGCTTTTATTAACCATGATAACCTTGATCTTTACCTACACTCATGGATTGAGTTTTTATGTTACATAAATGAAAGGTGAAGGAAATCAAAGTGCCCCTTGGATCATTTTAAGTTTCTTTGCCTTGAAAGAAAAAATAAAATTGGACACCCCTGAACAGGACATTCAAAGGAAATAATGCCAGTGGGCATTGGTGCCTCTACAAGTTGTTGGTACGCGTACTCTGAATTAAAAAACAAAAGTGTGTTCCAATATTACACACTGACACCACTGACTGCAAATTTCACAAAAATGAATGATGAACTCTTCTTGGGTGGCCGCCAAGTAAAGAGAGATAAACCACGAATGGTATGATGAAGTATCCTTTCAGCTGTCCCGTGGCAGTTTTATTTTTAAACTTTTTGTTGTTGCACAGAGGTAACATGACATCTGTAGTCATACTTGTATATCCACTAGCATAGACATTTTGCTTTGACTCTTATCTACTGTATGTTGTCTTTTTAAATACTGCCCCCTTGTGTTCAGACTGAGTACAACACAAAACTGAAATACCTTAAAATGCAACAGAATTGTCGATTATCGGTACTCTGTTGGCAAGTACTCGGTCTGGGGGGGGGGTGAATGGTATCGCTTCATTCCTTAAGTCAGCTATGTATACAACCACACTCCTAATGCCTCTCCTGTTGACAAAGTCTTGAACAACTGAGTTAATGTCTTTTTTTTTCTTTTTTCTTTCTACCCCCCCCCCCCCAAAAAAAAAATCATCTGCAGGCAAAAGGTTTGCTGTGGGATCGTGTACAAGGGCCGCTTCGGTGAGGTGATCATCGATCCTCGAGTCTTTAAGCCCTGCTGCAATTCCAAAACCCAGAAGACTCTGGCGTCCACGCAAGTTCCCTCCATCCTTCCGGAAACACTCCCGCCACAACTCCCGGAGGACAGAAACCTGGTGATGGCTCTTGTTTAACCTCGCAAGAGTTGTCCAAGAAACTCACCCGGAATTTGTCTCCAGTGGCAGACTTCCCTTTTCCCATCTTCTTTCGATCAGTTGGTTAGATGTATTTTTTTTCCACATATGGATATTATTTTAACATTTGTATAGTTTCTTTTCTTTTTTTTTAAATACAAAACACAAAAAACAAAAAAAAAGATGAACTAATGGGCATTAGTTTTATTTATAGGAAGAGGAGAAAAATTCTGCTAAAACTCATTATTTTTTGGTTATCCATGTGTTTGGTGTGTAAATATTTTGTCACTTTCATACATATCAAGACTGTTCTATTTTTCCATGATATGCATTTTGAAAAAAAAAAAAAACACCAGCTATTTCCAATATCAGTTCCCTCCCCCCTCTGTGTTGGAATTACTCCTGCACATGATGCTGCAAACTTTTTATCCTGTCGTCTATTTCACTTTTTAGGAGAGTACACACGAGGGTGGATGCTAGCGACACGTTCCGAGCAAAATGAATTAAATTCGATTTTAATATTTTTGTCAAAGAAAGCAATTGTGATGTTTTTGGCAGATGAAGCATGTCATGCATCATTTTTTTTTGTTTGTTTTTATCAATACTTGGAGCACATTGATCTGAATAGATGTGATTAGAAGATGCATGCAGTATGTTTCTCTACCTTTTGGAGGCGAATAAATTGTTTATTTATTTCATTTGTATAGCCACCAATGAAATGACTTTTTTTTCTTTTTTGTAAATAGTTATGCTCCACGCAAACAATTCTTTACAAGAATGGGAAACCACTACTTAAGCTTTTTATGCCATTCCAGTTTACCATTCCTATTGACAAATATGCCAAAACTCCATTCAAAGCTCAGATGTATTTTTATTTGGTTCAAAGTTCAGGGAAGTATAATATATTCGAAATAGTGTGCGTAGGTGACTGCATGTGATTTGTCATGTCAACTGTCAAAAACTATGCAGACATTCTGAATGTGCGACTTGGGGTCAATCGCCGTCTCTCAGTGTGACGTGACCTTGGTCCTGATTCTACCAAATTGAATTGTATAAAGAGCCCATAATCACCATTCATTGTTATCATCCCAAATATGTCTAATGTTCATGATGCTCAGGTTGCACCACTGTGATAGCCAGGGCACGCTGTCTCTACGCCCCCCCCCTCCCCCTCCTTTTTTTGGGTTAAACCATCAGAACTGCTCTTGATGGTGGCAGGGTTATTTTATTTTGTTAAGGTTCTCATTGAAAGGAGAATGGCTGGCTCCTTTTTAAACTGCTTAATAAGCTTTTTGGCATGTGCATTTTTGAAAGTGAGATGTGCCTTAATGAGTTACCTGACCTTGTCTTCTCATGTAATTTATATTTATTTATTGCAGAAGGGTTTTTTCTTTTTCTACCGAGATAGCTGGTGTAGAGCGTTTTTCCAAATGTTTTTGCGCACTTCCCGTGAACATGCAAACTTACAATGTTTGTTCCTCAATTTTTGTATACTGTACCACCGTGTAGAGCTGTACTGTAATAAGTTGAAATCGAATAAAACGGTGTCATTGAGATGTTTAGTGTCCGTGTCTTATGTAATATGTTACATTATTTTGTTATTTTATGTTAACTCTTCTGTGAAGCGCTCTGTTAAAAGCTGAGCGGTTGTGAAAGCGCTATATAAATAAAGATGTAATGTATGTTTGTCTTCACCACTAGATGGCGCCCAATAACTTGACAAAAAGTCAAGAGAAACCCTGGTTGTGATTTATTTCGGCTATGGGTGCACTGTACAGTCGGTAATTGTCGGTATTACTCTCGTTAATGAAAGATGAAGTCCATTTTTTTGTTCTACCTACTCAGGGCCCAGATGAAAACAATTAAAAAAACACAAATACTATTATACTAGTTAAGGATATCAAGTCAAGTATAACTTCATTGTCAAATGTGCTGTATGTGCACCACACAACACAGATGAAATTTCTTCCCTTTCAAGACAACATAAAACAAGAGCCGCTGCGGGTGCCCGCGCCACCATCAAAAGAAAAGTTAACATAATATTGGCCTTTTGGTCAAATTTCACAATGAATCTAACATGCACTGTAAACCTTACAGGTTAATTTAATTTGACCTTCTCTAAATTTTGAAAGCTCCTTGTAGCAAGTTGTGCGAAAGGTACTAAAACATTTAAGTGCATTCAAACATTTAAATTAGGTCAAATTAAATTCACGTGTAAAGATTATAGTGCATTTATGTTCATCTTAAAATGTAACCCAAAAACTGAACCCCTCCAACTTTTTATAAGTGGTGTGCAAACCCAAATCTACTGAAGTTGGCACGTTGTCTTAACCATAAATATAAACAGGATACAATGATACTCATCATATATTTAATTGATTACAGTGCAAAGACAAGATATTTAATGTTCAAACTGATGAACTTTGTTTTTAGCTGTGTCTGTCCCAGCTTTTTTGGAACGAGTTGCAGCCATAAAATTCTAAGTTAATGATTATTTGCTAAAACAATAAGGTTTATCAGTTTGAACAACTTGTCCGTGCAGTAGATACAATTAAATATAGGTTGAACATAATTTCCAAGTCGTTGTATTCTGTTTTTATTAAAGTTTAACACAACGTCCCAATGAATTGGGTTTGCATATATATGTTGTATATATCCTTGTCTGAAAATAATCAAACAAGGTGCAACTGTGCCAATTATATTAACGAAATACATTACATGAATTGATTTTCCAATTCATATAAAATGTCCAACTCCCTTAATCAAGGTGAAAATGCTCACAGCTGTGACGAAAGATGGTTGCACAGTCCAGCCTCAAATTTTCCTGTTAAAATAACTATTAAATAGGATAGAGTAACCGCATAGAATCAGGTAACGTCCTCTTTCTCTTTTGTAAAACGTTAATTTATTTTATATGTATATTTTTACTTAGGATCCATTACAGTATATGGTTTTTCATTGTCACTGCTTGAAGTTTCCGGTTGACTGACAAAACTGTGTTGCTAAGCAACCACGTTGTTAGGTCAGCGTTGCCATATTTACGTTTTGAGCTAATTAGCAAACAACCCGTTATCTAGCGGAAACCTATTGTGTTAGCTGCACTAAATGTCTGCTTTTTGAGTTTCGTAGTTTATTATTGCTGAATTTACAAAGCACACTAAACGTTTACGGAGCTTTCCAAAGCCAAATTCTGTCAAGTGAAACAACATACGCGCCGAACAGTAGATGGATTATTTCATAATTATAAGAATGTTTGCTGAACGGACATATAAACTTTTATTTTGTGTAATACTGCTTCCGGTGATTTGATCGTTACTCCTTTACCTTGATGCTGCCCCGCTTCAAAAGCCTTTCTCTCTCTCTCTCTCTCTCTCTCTCTCTCTCTCTCTCTCTCTCTTCGTCTCCAGTGTACGCGCACACGCGCACGCCTTCATTCTCGCCCCCTCGGGCACACACACACACACACACACACACACACAACCCACACACCCACACACACACACACACACACACACACACACACACACACACACACACGCGCGCACACACACACACACGCACACACATATACACACGCGCACACAGAGGCAGACCCACACATTCACTATTACTCACTCCTTTCTCTTTTCAAAAGGCCCTTGTGAGGCAGATTGACAGGCTAGAATGAAAATGAGGCGGACGCTCGGTCACGACTCCAGTGCGTACGCGTCCTTTTGAGCAGACCTCTAAACTTGGATCGTATCACCATGGGAGCTATTTGGGCTACAAGGGACTTTTGTTTGTTTTTGCTCTTGTTAAATAGTCGCCAAAGCGCTGCGCTTCCAGAGATTCGAGGTGGGACTATGGCGTGCGTGTATGTGCGTGCGTGCGCTTGTGCATATATAGGTATATGCGTGTACGCGCGCGCGTGTAAATGCGTGCGTGTGTATGTGCCAGTGTTTGAGACGACTTCTTTACGCACGCTTTCAAGAGTGCGCTCTTCTTTCTTCTAATTTACACGTTTACTTTATGATTGTGAAGCTAAACTACATCTCTCGTTATCTCCAATGCTTGTATTTTTTTTTTACTTGATTACTTTCGCAATACTTTTTTCGTATTTGCGTCCAGCGGTTGGCAATGCTCGTTCAAATCCATGTTGACTGTGCTGTGTGGTTTTCCAAGCAGACCCATGTGCAGAGGGCAGTGATGGCTGTCACATAGATGCTATTTGTCAGACGACCCAGGACTCATACAAGTGCACATGCAAAACAGGTTTTAAAGGAGACGGCCAACACTGTGAAGGTAATGTGTGCACATAGCATCATATCAAGGGGTCGTCAGGGACGTCAATCAGGATTACCCCTCAAATATACTATTCAAACGCTCTGATACGCACCACTGAAACACGGTAGTAATGTGTATATTTGTGTTGAAGAGTGGTTCAGTTGTGGGTGACAGTGTTTTAATAGAGCTTGAGAGTGTTTATGTAAAAGTGTTTTGTTTGTGTGCATGAGAGAATTTCAGTTTCAGTAATGTGCTTGAGTGTTTTACAGTTATGTGTGAGAGTGTTGCAGTAGTATATGAGCAATGATGTCAGTAGTGGATGTGAGAGTATATGTATACATGTATACGAACATATCAGCAGTATATATATATATATATATATATATATATATATATATATATAGTGTGTGTGTGTGTGTCAGCATTTCAGTAGTATATATGAGAGCATGTCAGTAATTTTGCATGAGACCGACATGTTAGAGCATTTCAATAGTGCACATGAATTAAAAAATGTTGGAGTGACTCAATTTCCCTTGTGAGTGTGAGAAGACAAATGTCAGTGGTGTGTGTGAAAGCATTTCAGTAGTGCACATGAGCCCGCTTCAGTAGAGTGTTTGAGATTATTTCAGTAGTGTGTATGAGATCATTTCAGTTGTCTGTATGAGAGCAGTTCAGCACTGTGTGTGGGAGCATTTCAGCAGTATGAAAGACAGCATTTCCATTGTGTGCATGAGAGCATTCATAGTGAATGAGAAGTTTCATTTAGTTTAAGAGAGCATTTGATCAGTGGGTGTGAGAGTGTGACAATTTTGCGGAAGCGTGAGTTTCAATATATCGTGTGTTTCATTTGCCTACGTGAGAGCGTTTCAGTAGTTTATGGGAGCCTGTGGGTGTGTGTCTGAGTGTGTGTGTGTGTGGGTGTGTGTGTGTGTGTGTGTGTGTGAGAGAGAGAGAGTTAGAGAGAGAGAGAGAGAGAAAGAGCAAAAAATATGTCAGTGATGGTGTGAAAGCATTTCCGTGGCGTGCGTGAGCTCGTTTCAGTAGTGTGTATGAGATCATTTAAGTAATGTGTGATCATTTCAGTTGTCTGGATGAGCGCATTCAATATAGTGTGTGAACGTTTCAGTAGTGTATGATCTTGTTTCACTATAAATAAGAGCATTTCAGTAGTGTGTGCATGGAAGTGCTGCAGTAGTTTGAATGAGAGCGTTTCAGTCGTGCGTATGAGAGCGTCAGTAGTGTGAATGAGAATGATTCATTTTGTGTGCCAGAGAGCATTTCAGTAGTGGGTGTGAAAGTCTTTCAGCAGTGTGGATGTGAGTGTTTGAATATTGTATGTGCGAATTTCAGTTGCGCAGACAAGAGCATTTCAGTAGTGTGTGAGAAGAATTATATTATGTCCTTGATGGCCCCCTCCTAGCATAGCATCATTAGCCCATTCTGACCCTCTGGCAAATGAGCCGTACTGTACTCCTGTTGCTTAAGCTCAATGATTTATGTGCTGCTTACTCCCTAGACATTGATGAATGCGACTTGGAGTACAATGGTGGCTGTGTACACGAATGCAACAATATACCAGGAAATTATCGCTGCACTTGTTACGACGGCTTCAATTTGGCTCACGACGGTCACAACTGTTTAGGTAAGATCAGCTGGGGGCGATTTTGATGGCGCACATCGCATTTGTGTTGGCTCATTGCAAACTTTCTCACACTGACTCGGGAGTTCTTTTCTTCCTTTGAAACGCACACACAGAGTGAAAATGTAACCTAATACAAATAGTTTTGGTTTTGTTCATGCGCGCTCAAAAGTCAGATAAATATTTATGTCTGAAATGATATGAAAAAGCTGTATTTACCATATGTTTGGGACAAGCAACGAAACAATGATGTGATGGATTTGCATTTGCTGATTGAGCTGAACCAACGAGTCTCAACCAGGGAGTATCCAAACTTTTTCGACCAAATGCTGCATTTAGAGAAAAAAAATCAAACAATGCAAGGTCCATTTTGACATGTTTCAGTTTTAATTTATTTAGCAATCCACCTTTGTACAAAACAAAATGCAAAAATTCAAAACACACATGTCCCCCCAAAATGCCAAGAAAAGCCTTCTAGAACATCTGAACTTTATTTGGGGGTTAATCAGAGGCACTTTGTGCTGACTCACATTTAACATAAGTTTGAATGTGATGATTGATTTTGATCAAAGTCATATCACCTGTTATAAGAAGGTGTGAAGATTTTTGCAACCACATCATGTCTGTGATTTATTTTTACTTCCCTTCTGCAAAAGATTAAAGTCCATGTAGAATTTCTTGGAAATGTGCCACGCCACAGAGAGAGTGTTGTTAAAAGGGCAGTCAACCCAAACATTTTCTTTGAAGAAATATGTTCTATGTAGCCTGACTAATCTAAACACAGCATTCTGATTCATATTGTATGTATGGAATATGAGTTAAGCAGCAAAATCCTCCCGTTTTTATCTATCTCAGGCAGCGGCCATTTTGCTCCTTACTGTCGGCTGAAAATGACCTCACAGTTGCTCAGGGCTCAGGTAATGATCAATTACGACTCACCTGTTTTTTGAAGATGAGCCACGATTGATCATTACCTGAGCCCTGAGCAACTGTGAGATTATTTTCAGCCCACTCCAATTGTAATGGTTGAAACAAAATTAATTTTAACATCTGTTCTGTCCTGTTGCAAATGCTGTGGGCTCGTCAGCCGAATGCATTGAAACTATGCCCAATTCAAATGTCAACTGTCAATAAAATACCACAAATCTGTCTTTTTGCTCATCCCTACATGCTTGAGCGATGAACATTTATCCGCTTAAAGGCTCGAGTGGCTGGGACATACCCTACCAGTTCATCACGGGACTTTTCCACAGAGCATCAAGGCGCTCTAAAGCTGCCACTGCTGTCAAATTCGCCCTCCTTGTGCTTCTGTCTTTCTCACAGTGATGTGCGCACACTCACGGCCAACAATGAAGTGCTCTAAAGGGGCCACACCTGCAGACTACCAGAAGGAAACATACATTTCTACGGTGTTGGCATGTCGCAATTGTGCTGGATGAAAGTTGACGCAATCTAAAGTGCTCAGGTTCTTATGTAGCGAAGTAGGGGCGACTCATCCAAAGTGTGTCACATGGAGCCGTTTTAGCCACTCCCCAAAAAATCGGCACTGCTGAAATGTGTGAAAATTAGTGCTGTGATTCCACAGCTGCATACTACATAGTTCTCAGTCTTTGCAAATGTTTTTAGGAAGTAGCTTCAAACATGTATCATGTATTAAAGAAACAAATCCGTCAATTCACCTTTCATGGTCTTTAACAAAACATTCTCATTTGACTTGTAGAGGTAATAGGTCACTGTTGGAAAAAAGTTTTGAAATATATTTTAAATTGGTCTGATTTTGTTTACCACAAAAACCTGGCATTTCACCAGAGGTGTGTAGACTTTTTTTTAATATACACTGTATATATATGGGCGGGCTCAATTTTTCATTTTAGTACTTATATACCGCCGTCTGCCAAAAACTGATGACGGGCCGCAAATTCCCTCCTGCACGGGTCATGGTTTGGACACCACCGGTCGTAAACACCTCCATGAATGCCTCCGACTTTGAATTTCAGATGTGGACGAATGCAAATTCAACAACGGCGGCTGCCAGCACACTTGTGTCAACACCATGGGCAGCTACGAGTGCCGCTGCAAGGACGGCTTCTTCCTCAGCGACAACCAGCACACGTGCATCCACCGCTCTGTTGGTGAGTGCGCAGCACGCCCACAACATGCATGTACTCAAGGAACGAAAGACGATTCAATATTTATTGCATATCCTTCATATTTGGGCCCCAAACAATCAGCTGGGTGAAGAAATCTATATTAGATATCTTAAAATTCACAAAAAGTGAACAAAAATCGGCTTGTTGTTGTCATCTTTTGCACATTAACACATTACATCCTAAGACAAAGATAATGACATTCAGACACTCCTCACTAAATTCATTCCGTCCCAAAATTGGCTGATTTATGCTGATTTTTTTTCCCTGTTGTTATGATAGCAACTACTAAAAGACGATAAAACAGTCAAAAATGTTCTGCCTGTAATTCATATTTTTATTGTTGTAAGTGAAAATGGACCAAAAATAAAGTTATTTATTTTTATATTTTTAATTAAACAGCCAATTAATCGGATATTGGAATTTTATTCTGCCAAATATCGGAATCGGCCTCAAAAACATCCATTAGTGTAGTCCTACTTCTTATTAAGCATAGTCTGCTCTTGCAGGGATTAGAAGAATCACTGTGTCGTACTAATAATGTTTTTTCCTTTGCTCATGCCACGTTTGGCCTACTAGTTGCAAACGTGACTGGTAAACTACAGTGCTACATTACAAGGCCCGACTAGTCGGCATGTTTGGAAAGCCATTTGAGCATTTATTTGATATCCTTTATATCAAGTTTAGTGTGCACGTACTAATATACAGTAAATATTCGTCCTCACTTGGAAAAGAACAATTCAGCACACCAGTAGAGTGACTGTGTCTTACTTAACATTACTCGTTCAACTAGAGTGCTGAATTGTCTTACTATGGCATACTAGTACATAGCCTTAAGGTGACTATCAAGGATAACAAAGCCTTATGAGCATATACAATATTCAGTATCAATTATATCTAGCTATTGATTCATACTTGAAGGCCAAAAGCGGATTTGGTAGTTGAAAAAAAAATCTGAATAAAGAATGGATGAAACACAAACATGTACACATGTAGAGAATAAGTCACATATTCTTCATCCTCTGCATAGAACAACTAATATTTGTGCAGTACTGATTAGATAAGTGAGGAGGTGAGGCGTCTCAATGTAATGTTATGAATCTCACTTGAGTACTAGGACACGCCCTGCTGCAATATAATTGGCTTCTAGTTATCAAAGCTATCAAATGCACGATCAAATAACTTTTCATACACATGTGAATCTCTCAACATTTAAACTTTGAAGTGTGATTTGATGACGCTTGTGTTTCCTTGTGAGTGACAAATTCTCATACAAATTCAAGACTTGGGAGGGCACAATGAAGCATGCATTGCCTTTGCTTTTCATCTGCGGCAGTAACACGCTGTGGGAAAAAGGATGTCTGCATCCCGAGAACAAAACAAGTTAATAAGTACAACACTTGCCCCTGTGTGCTCTGTGTCACACATCACACTGGAGTGCCTTTGTGCTCTCCACTCCATCGGGTCCTGATAGGCCTTTTAATTCGTGAAGACCCGGCCACTCAGCTGTGACCCATCTTTACAAATACTCCACATCTCATTTTCCAACTGAAAGCATCAAGGGAGCCCGGTAGCGCACACAAGAGCCATTTGACTGTGTGAGTCAACGCAACTCAACGCGCTTTACACTAAGTAACAGTTTGGCAAATAGTGAACAAGTCATCACGAGTTGAAATTTACCGTCTAACTAAACAAAGTGAATTACATTTCATGTGTTTAAAACACACATAAACAACGGCAACGTGTTGACAGATAATATCTAACAGTTCTCAAAGTCATTTATTCTTTATCCTCTGCGTGGAATACAGGTGACCTGAGAATGAAGTTGAAACATCTCAATAAAGCTGTATTCTGAATCCTGCTACAGGACATGACGCGCTAAAATATGATTGGCTGCTGCAAAGAGGCATGGTTTGCTGAGACCTCAAATGGGATTCAGATTAACGCTTCAATGAACAGTGAGCAACTGGTTCGCACATTCGCCTCACAGTCCAGAGGTCTGGCCTTCTTGTGTGGAGTTTGCATGTTCTCCTCGTGCCTACGTGGGTGTTCTCTGGCTACTCCGGTTTCCTTTCACAATCCAAAAAAATCATGCATGGGAGGTTAATGGAACACTCTAAATTGTCCCTTATTGTTGTGTGTCAATATGTGGCCTGTGTTTGGCTGGCAACCAGTTCAGGGTGTACCCCGTCTACTGTCCGAAGACGGCTGGGGTAAGCTCCAGCATGCCCCGATCCTTGTAGCGATAAGCGGCTCAAGTAATGGCTATGAGCCTTATCCTCGGTGCCAGTCTTATACTGCCCCCAGGTGGCCAAGGTGTGCAACTGTTTAATTCCTTTTAATTTAGTTTAATGTCATTACTGTGTGTCTATGTATATACAGTACAATATTATGGAGTGCTATTTTTCCTCATTATAATACACAATTACAGCAATTTTTTTGTTGTACTTTTGGGGAAAACTGGAACGGATTAATGTCATTTCCATGCATTTCAATGGGAAAAGGTGATTTGAGATAAAATGTGTTTTTAGTTTTGGATATGGTCAGAGAATGAATTACATTCGTATTTCAAGGTACCACTAAATTTCTTTAGCTAAAAATGACATGCCAGTTAATGTTTTTGAATCATTCCAAAGCATGAGAACAATCAGCCCTGGGCTAATCTCTTAATATGAGCGCTTTTTGTGTAGAGCTGCTCACTCACTGTAGGAGTCTAGAGAGCCTCATTGTGTTCCTCTGTGCATCCCAGAGGGCCTCAACTGTATGAATAAGGAGCATGGCTGCGCCCATATCTGCAAAGAGTCACCCAAGGGAGGCGTGGCCTGCGAGTGTCGTCCGGGGTTCGAGCTGGCGCACAACCAGAGAGGCTGCATATGTACGTGTGAATCTTTCTCTATACAGTACCACAAACCCACAGATGCACACGCATTTGAGGGCTTATTTGCTGACTGTGCGGCTCATAGTTGCCTATTGTTGACCCCCGTAGTGACTTGTAACCATGGCAACGGAGGCTGCCAGCACACCTGTGAGGACACAGATAATGGCCCAATATGCAAGTGTCATGTCAGGTACACCCTGCAGCCTGACAGGAGGTCGTGTGTTGGTAAGTCTTTTTGCCTTCTATTCATGTTTGTGTATAGTATGTCAGGTGCACACAAACACACACACACACACACACACACACACACACACACACACACACACACACACACACACACAAATGGCAGCAAACTCACATGTCAA